TTTTTTTTTTCTTTGCATCATAGGAACTTTTTAGTTTCATGTAGTTCCATTTCTTTTTTTCTTTTGTTGTCTATGATTCTTACATCAAATCTAAAAACTCATTGCCAAGACCAATAGCAAGGAACTTTCTCTCTTTGTTTTCTTCTACCAGTTTTAGTTTCAAGGTTTTATGTTTAACTCTTTAATCCATTTTAAGTTAACTTTTCTGTATGGTAGAAGAGAAGCATCCCTCTTAGAACTGCTTTTGCTGTATCTAGTTACATTTTGGTATGTTGCATGTTTCACTATGTTTTGGTATATTGTGTGTTCCATCCTTAGGATGCATATGTTCAGTTTCCCAGGGCTTTTTTTTTTTTTTTTTTTTTTTTTGAGACAGGGTCTTGCTCTATCACCCAGGTGGGAGTACAGTAGCGCTATCATGGCTCACTGCAGTCTCAACCTCCCAGGTTCAAGGATCTTCCCACCTCAGCCTCCCAAGTAGCTACGACTACAGGTGTGCATGCCCAGCTAGTTTTTGTATTTTTAGTACAGGCAAAGTTTCACCCTCTTCTCCAAGCTGATCTTTAACTCTTGAGCTCAAGAAATTCATCCGCCTTGGCCTCCCAAAGTGCTGGGATTACAGGCGTAAGCCATCAGCCACATTTTTTTAAAGACAGATTTGACACCATGCAGAATAGCTTGGGAAGATTTTGTAGTCATTGCATCAGTGTTCTCTTGTTGGTAGGATAATGTATTAACTTGATTATTTTTACCCTTTCGAAATGATTTAATGCTTTGGCCTGGAGACTGGGAGGATATATCATCTTTAAAGTTTGTTTTACTAAGATATTTCATGGAACAGTCTGACTGTTTGGGTTAATTTTCCAGGTACACTGTTAGTTCTTTCAATATTTACATTCAAGTCGTTTATTTCAGGACAGATACCTTGAGTATTTTAAATCACCTCTTGAAACATAATTCATTTATAATAAAATTCACTCATTTTAAGTCCATAGTGCAAGGGATTTAGATGAATGTATAGTTATATTACAATAACTACAATCAAGATAAATGTTTTTAAAATCATGTCAAAAACAGTTTCCATGTGCTATTTGCAGTAAATGCCCTTAGTTCACTCACCTTCAGGCTTTGGAAACAACTGATCCATCTGGTTTCTCTCACTATACTTTTGCTTTTTTTCCTAGCATGTCATGTGCAATATCAAACAGAATACAGTCCAAACTGTATCGGGCTTTGCTTTTTTTCAAGAATATCATAAATGGAATAACAAAGAATGTATTGTTTTTATTTTTCTTTTCATAAATCTTTGGAGATTCATCTATTTTGTTCAGGTATGTAGTTTAAAAAAAATTGAATAGCGTTAATCAACAGTTTGTTTATACATTTCTCAATTGGTGGTCATCTGAGACGTTCCCATTTGGGCCTGTTATTAATAATGGTGCTTTAAGTATTCATGTATAAGTTCTTGTACGGAGATATGTTTTCAGTTCTCTTAGCAGGGGAGATACATATATATGTTTATTTACATTTATATATTCTAACCATTCCAATCATATTCTAATAATTCTAATCATATAATTAGAATGGTTAGAATGTACACATGTAACTATCTCCCCCTAAGAGAAATATATTTACATGTATGATTAGAATGGTTAGAATTGTTAGGTAATATGGTAAATGTATTTTTAACTTAAAAGGAACTGCTGAACAATGCTCCAGTGTAGTTATAACATCTTATGTACCCAAGAGCAACAAAGAAAATTTCTAGTATATCCACATCCTCCCTAGTGTGATATTGTGCCAGAATTGCTAGCCTTTGCTTACCGGTAATAACTAAAATAAGCAGCCCAGGATAACTAAGATCTGTGTGTAAACAAATGCTTATCTTGACTTCTGTAAACCACTGAAGTAACAAACAGAATGACAAAAGTCCCCTGGCCCTTGGAATGTCCGGACCCCCGCCCCTGTCTCCGCCCGGGAGGTGAATTACAGAATCCCCTGGACCTTGGAATGTCCAAAACCTTTTCATCCCCATCCCCGCTCCTCACCCCCACTCCCAAGGTGGTTTTTCGGGTATAAAAAGTCTTGGCACCCTCCTTTTGACGCCACAGGTTGGAGACACGTTAGTCCTCTGTGGTCGCTGGCATAATAAATGACCCTGCAATCTGGCATACTTTTGTCTTGGTGCTAACTTTCTACGCTCGATCCAGTACAACATTAGCACTTGTTATTATTTGTCTTTTAAATTTTATCCTTCTAATAGTTCCTGGCATAGTGGCTTCTCATTATATGTAAAACATGCTTCTCTGATGACTAATGATGTTGAACATTGTACAAGTGCTACCTAGACATCCATATTTTTTCTTTGGTAATGTGTCTCTTCAAATCCTCTGTCCATTTTTCATTGAGTTAGTTTACTGTTAAGTTGTAACAATTCTTTATATATGCTGGTTACAATACTCTAATCAGATACTGTTTTATCAGACACATATACTGAGAATAATCTCAGTTTGTGGCTTTCCTTTTCATTTCTTAATGGTGTCCTTTGAAGAGCAGGAGTTTCCAATTTTGATGAACATCTGTCTATTTTATTCTTTAACTATATTTTCCTTATTTGATTTTGTAGAGATGGGGTCTCACTCTGACACCCAGGTTGATCTGGAACTCCTGGCCTCACATAATCTTCCCACCTCAGCTTCCCAAAGCACTGAGATTACAGGTATAACCACACTCCACCTGTTTTTTCCATGTTATATCTAAGAAATATTTATATCAAAATCATTATGTTTATCTTTGATCCACTTTTCCTGAAGATCTACAGTTTTACCTCTTATATTTAGGCTTGTGATGACCCATTTCAAGTATATTTTGTATTGGTATGAGAACAGAATTATTTTTCCTTTTTTTTGGCCCACACAGATATCCAATTGTTTTAGCATCATTTATTGAAAAGATTACTTGTTTGAGGACTAAGCTCTTATTTTTTTTATCTTGACCAAATACCTCAGGGGCCTGAGGAGTCACGCCCTACAGACTAAATTCCCATCAGATGGGTTTTATTTAACCCCGTATATCATGACTTACTTTCCAATCTGACTCTGGCATAACAAGGAAGAAAATCAAAATGTTTTACCCCAAAATATATTTCCTTGCCGTACCTTGATTGCCCTGCAGTCTCCTATGGGAAAAATCCACATTCTGTAGAGAATCCCTTTTCCCCTTTATTCCCCTTCCTTCCTTTTCAGATCCAGGAGATAATCAACTAAGAGCCAGGCACCCTTTTAAGTTCTCTAAGAAACATTTTATGACCTGCTGTTTCTGAAGTCTGCTATCTGGGAGATTCCTTTGCACAATAAAACTTGGTCTCCACAATCCTTTATCTTAACTTGAACATTTCCTTTCTATTGATTCTAGGTCTTCAGATAAACTCAACCAATTGTCAGCCAGAAAATGTTTAAATTTACCTATAGCCTGGAAGTCCCTGCTTTGAGTTGTCCCACCTTTCTGAATCAAACCAATGTATTTCTTAAAGTATTTGATTAAGTCTCATGCCTCCCTAAAATGTATAAAACCAAGCTGTACCACGACCACCTTGGGCACATGTTCTATAGACCTCCTGAGAGCTGTGTCATGGCCATGTTCACTCACATTTGCCTCAGAATAAATCTCTTAAAAAATATTTTACAGAATTTTACTCTTTTTTTCAACACATTCTGCATATAATTATCCTGACAAAGTAGTAAAAACCCACTTGTAATAAGTTTTGAAATCAGGAAGGATGAATATACAAACTTTGTTCTTTTTTAAGATTGTTGGGGGTATTTCGTAACTTCATGGGAATTCCCTATTTTTGAAAAAACTAAAACAAAATCATTGGAATTCTGGGAGGGGTACCAATAAATCTGTAAATTACTTTGTTCAAAATTGCCAGCTTAACAATACCAAGTCTTTTAATCCACAAACATGGGGTGTTTTTACATTTATTTAAGTCAATTTCTTTCAGGAATGTTTTATAGCTTTCAGTGTTTATGTCTTTCACCTTGTGAATCTCAAATATCTGAGTCAGGTGTCAGTCAATTTAGAAAGTTTATTCTGCTAAAGTTGAGGATGCACAGCTATGACACAGCCTCAGAAAGTCCTGACAACATGTGCTCAAGGTGGTCAGAGCACAGTTTGGTTTCATACATTTTAGGGAGACATGAGACATCAATCAACATATGTAAGATGAACACTGTTTCAATCCAGAAAGGCGGGACAACTTGAAGCAAATGTGAGACAACTGGAAATGGGGAGGGGACATTCAGGTCACAGGTAGACAAGAGACAAATGATTGCATTCTTTTGACCTTCTGATTAGCCTCTCCAAAGGAGGCAGTCAGATATGCATTTATCTCAGAGAGCAGAGGGGCAACTTTGAATACTGCCCTAAGCAGTTCCCAGCTTGACTTTTCTCTTTAGCTTAATGAGTTTGGGGCCCCAGGATTTATTTTCTTTTCACAACCTCCTTGGTTATAGTTACTGCTAGTGTGAAACAAAAAATAAATCTTGGGACCCAAACTCACTAAGCCAAAGGGAAAAGTCAAGTGGAAACTGAATCACACGAACCTGCCTCCAATTTTATTCCTAAATAAGACAGCTACAAAGATTTTTAAAAGCTATAGACTTCCTTCACAATTTGACCACAGGGCCCCAAGATCTTTACCCTAAAACACTGCTGTTGAATTTCACCGTGACAACGTAAATTGATAGCTTATCTTCACAGGTAAGGGAAAAAGGACAGAACTTAAAGTCAGCCCTCTGCTCCCCAGACACAAATGCATATCTGATTGCTTCCTCTGCTCTATGTTTATCTCATGTTAAAATGCAGATTTGATGAGCTAGATGCCTAAGTAGCTATTCCTCTACCCCTTTCACATGTACATGGGTGATCAAAGACTCACAAGAATGCAACCCTTTGCCTCTTATCTACCCATGACCTTTTAAAATTTCTTCCTCTTTCACCAATACCTGCCCTTTTCCCTTTAAATACTAAAGTCCCTAGACCCTCTTTGTAAAAAAGCAGGGACCACAATTTTTCCTGTGAATCTGTGTTCTTTCCTGGGCATCTCCTTAACTGTGGCAAATAAACCTCCTACAATGATTGAGATTCTCCTTGGTCATTTGATTTACATTAGGTATTTTATTCTTTTGGATGCTATTGTAAATAGAATGAACTTTTTTCTTTAAAGACAGAGTCTCACTCTGTCATCCAGGCTGGAGTGCAGTGGCACGATCTCAGCTCAGTGCAGCCTCTGCCTCTGGAGTTCAAGTGATCCTCCCATATCAGCCTCCCAAATAGCTGCAATTACAAGTGCCCACCACCACACCTAGCCAGGATTTCTTAATTTCCTTTTTAAACTGTTCATTGATGGTGTAGAAAAATGCTACTGTTTTTGCGTGTTGATCTTGCATCCTGCAACCTTGCTGAATTCATTTATTCAGTCTAATAGTCAGAGGAGTGTGAACCAGAACAACTCCATCTTAAGTAGGAGCTGGCTAAAATGAGGCTGAAACCTACTGGGCTGCATCCCAGAGAGTTAAGGCATTCTAAATCACAGGATGAGATAGGTCAACACAAAATACAGGTCATAAAGACCTTGCTAATAAAACAGGTTGCAGTAAAGAAGCCAGACAAAATCCACCAAAACCAAAATGGCAACTGTTAGGCCTCCAAGTCCAGGACTGGCCATTTTAGCCTTGGTGACCCACACATATACTTCTGGATGGTCTCCAGGAACCAGAAAGTCTGAAGTGGCCACAAACAACCAGGCGGCCACAGTAAGAAGTAAAACAACTTGTTCCTGCCTCAACTAATTGCTGCAACCTGCATCCATTGTTCCTCTTCAGCCTTGCAAAAATCCGCCCCCCCCCCCCCCCCCCGACACTGGGTTTCTCAAGACCCCCACCCCTGTAACTATGTAATCTACCACACCCTACCCTCTGACTGCAACTGACACTCCCCATCCTATGATCATGCCTGCTTGTAATAAATGACCCTTACCCTTGTGATCATACTCCCCACTCTTATGATCATGCCTGTTTGTAATAAATGATCCCTCCCTTGTGATCATGCATCCCATGATGCCCTTCCCCTCCCCAAAATAGATTACTCATCCCTACCCTTGTAGTTATACATCTTGTGACATCCTCCCCTCCCCTCCCCAAGACAGATTACCACATTTAGCTGACCATTTGCCCCAACCTATATAACCAATCCCCTCTCCTACCCTCTTTGCCTAATTCCTTTCTCAGACTTGGCCCACTTGCAACCAAGCATGAAATAAATGGCCTTGCCCACACAAAGCCTGTCTGGTGGTCTCTTTATGTGAGTGACCTGCATGATAGCAATGAGAGTGACTTCTAGACGTCCTCAATGCTACACTTTCACCAGTACCATGACAGTTGATAAATGCCATGGCAACGTCAGGAAGGTACCCTATATGGTCAAAAAAGAAGAGGCAAGAATAATCCACCCCTTGTTTAGCATTTCATCAAGAAATAACCATAAAAATGGGCAACCAGCAGCACTCAGGGCTGCTCTCTCTGGAGTAGCCGTTCTTTTATTCCTTTACTTTCTCAATAAACTTGCTTTTACTTTGTGATGCAGACTCTCCCTGAAATCATTCTTGCACAAAATCCAAGAACCTCTCTTGGGGTCTAGATCAGGATCCCTTTCCTGTAACATAATGGTTTTTATGTGGACTCTCTGGAATTTTCAGAATAGAATCATGTCATTTGCAAATATAGTTTTTCTTCTCTTTTTCCAATTTAGGTGCCATTTCTTTCTATTGTTTTACCTAATTGCCCTGACTAGGAATTCGAAAACAATATTGAACAGTAGTGGTGAAAGTAGACATCCTTATCTTGTTCCCAGTATTAGGCAGAAAGCACTCAGTCTTCTACCATTGAACATAAGGGTTTTCCACAAAAGGCCTTTATCACGTTGAGGAAGTTCATCTCTATTCTTAGTTTTCCGAGTTTGTAACATGAATGGGTACTGAATGTGGTCGCTTTCCTGGCATCAATTAAGATTATTGTATGGGTTTTGTCCTTGCTTCTACTCATGATTGACAGATTTTCTTATGTTGAAACACACTTATATTCCTGGGATAAATCAACCCATTAGGTTATTGATTTCAGACCTCTACTTTTGAAAATTTTTATTGAGGTAAAATATACATATAAAAGTTACTACCTTTACTACTTTTACATGTACAGTTCAGGGCTAATAAATACATTTATAATCTTTTTTTTTCCCACTTTATCCTCCTCCTTACCCTTCCTGGCCTCTGGTAAACCATCAATCTACTCTCTATCTTCATGAGAGTCACTTGTTAAGATTCCACTTATGAGTGAGAACATGCAGTATTTGTCTTTCTGTGCTTGGCTTATTTCACTTAACATTATGACCTCCAGTTCCATCTATATTGCGGCAAATGACATGAGTTTGGGTTTTTTTTTTTTTGATGGCTGAATAATATTTCATTGTGTATATATACCACATTTTCTTTATCCATTCATCCATTAATGGGTACCTAGCGTGGTTCCTTCCACATTTTGGCTATTGTGAATAGTGCTGTAATAAACATGGGAGTGCAAAAATCTGTTGGATATAGTGATTTCATTTCTCTTGGATATATACACAGTAGTATATATTTAAAGCAATGTCTTAATCATATGGTAGTCCTGTTTTTAGTTTTTTGAGGGACCTCCATATTGTTCTTCATAGTGGCTATACTAATTACATTCTCACCAACAGCGTACATGAACTCCCCTTTCTCCATTCTTACCAGCATCTGTTATTGTCTGTCTTTTGGATACAAGTCATTTTAACTAGGATAAGATGATGGGTCATTTTGGTCTTGATTTGCGTTTCTCTGATTAGTGATGTTGAAGAGTTTTTCATATACATGTTGACCATTAGTATTTCTTCTGAAAAATGTCTACTTAGATATTTTGCCCATTTTAAAAAACAGGATTTGTTTTTGCTATTAAGTGCCTTATATATTCTGATTATTAATCCCTTGTCGAATGAATAATTTGCAAGTATTTTCTCCCATTCTGTGGACTGGCACTTCACTGACTGTCTCTTTTGCTGTGCAGAAACTTTTTTGCTTGAGGTAATCTCATTTGTCTGTTTTTAATTTGGTTGCCTGTACTTTTGAGGTCTTACACAAAAAGTCTTCTCAACGACCAGTAGTCCCAGAGCCTTTCCCTAATGATATCTTTTAGTAGCTTTATACATTCAGGTTTTAGGTTTAAGTATTTAATCCATTTTAATTTTTGTGTATGGTGAGAGATGGGGTCTACCTTCATTCTTCTTCAAAGAGTAATCCAGTCTTCCCAGCATCATTTATTGAAAAGACTATCCTAGGGCCAGGTGCAGTGACTCACGCCTGCAATACCAGCACTTCGGGAAGTCGAGGTGGGTGGATCACCTGATGTCAGGAGTTCAAGACCAGGCTGACCAGCATGGTGAAACCCTGTCTCTATTAAAAATACAAAACTTAACCAAGCATGGTGGTGGGCGCCTGTAATTCCAGCTACTCAGGAGGCTGAGGGAGGAGAACCATTAGACGTTTGAACCCAGGAGGTAGAAGTTGCAGTGAGCCAAGATCGCACCACTGCACTCTAGCCTGGGTGATAAGAGAAAAACTCTGACTCAAAAAACAAAAAAAAGAAAGGACAGTCCTTTCCCCATTGTATGTACTTGGTGTTTGTGTTGCAAATAACTTGTCTATAAAAGTGTGAATTTATATAAGCGTTCTCTATTCTGTTCCATTTTCTTATGCGTCTGTTTTTATATCAGTGCCATGCTGTTTCAGTTACTATGGCTTTGTGGTAAATTTTGAAGTAAGGTAATATAACACCTCCAGCTTTGTTCTTTTTGTTCATGATCGCTTTGGCTTTTCAGGGTCTTTTACAGTTTCATATAAGTTTTAGAATATTTTTTCTATTTTTGTGAAGAATGTCATTGGCATTTTGATAGGAATAACAATGAATCTACAAATTGCTTAGAACTGTCATTTTAACTATATTAATTCTTCCAGTTTACAAGCATGAAATACCAATTTTGTACGTGTGTTCTCTTCAATTTCTTTTGTCAGAGTTTTATAGTTCTCCTTGTACAGATCTTTTACTTCTTTTGTTATACTGATTCCTAGGTACTTAATATTTTTGTAGCATGAGATTCTCTTCCTGATATCTTATATTTTTTAATTTTAAATTTTTTATTTTTGAGATAGAGTCTCACTCAGTTGCCCAGGCTAGAGGGCAGTGATGTAATCTCAGTTCATTTCAACCTCTGCCTCCCGGGTTCAAGCAATTCTTGTGCCCAAGCTTCCTGAGTAGCTGGGACTATAGGCACACACCACCACGCTGGGATACTTTTTGTATGTTTAGTAGAGGCGGGGTTTCACATCATTGGCTATGCTGGTCTTGAACTCCTGACCTCAAATGATCCACCCACCTCTGCCTCTCAAATTGCTTGGATAAAAGGCGTGAGCCACTGTGCATGGCCTAATTTTTTTTAGATTGTTTGCTGTTGGTATATATAAGTGCTGCTGATATTGTATATTAATTTTATATCCTGCAACTTGACTGAATTTGTTTATCAGTTCTAACAGTTTTTTTGGCGGGGTCTTTAGGTTTTTCTACATATAGGATCATGTCATCTGAAAACAAGGTTAATTTGACTTCTCCTTTTCCAGTTTAGATACCCTTCATTTCTTTCTCTTTTTTTTTTTTTCTTACTTAATTACTCTCACCAAGAGTTCCCATATTATGTTGAATAAAAGTGGTAAAAAATGGGCATCCTTGTCTTGTCCAGTCCTTAGATGAAAGGTCTTCAGTTTTTCCCCATTCAGTATACTAGCTGTGGGTTTGTATAATCATAAATGGCCTTTATTATTTTGAGGTATGTTCCTTCTATACCCATTTTAATGAGAATTTTCAATCATAAAGGTATATTGCATTTTACCAAATGCTTTTTTGCCATCTGTTGAAATAATCATATGGTTTTTGTTCTGTTAATGTGATATACTATGTTTAGGGTCAGTCACTGAATTTTTACTTAGTCCTTTTGGGGAACTCATCGTTCCATTTGTTGGTTTTTCTTATGGGTATACATCTATGTCTCTGCATTGAAGGATTATTCATTTCAGTTTTCTGTCTAGCTTGTTTTGTTTTTTTTATTGAATATATTTGCTTAGCCTATCTTTACTGGTAGGTCACTGCCTCCTTTTTGGCTCTAGGTGGCTCTTTGAACCCAGGTTCTCCTCAGCTATAGTAAATGATCAGAGTTCTGCCTGTCTCAAATGATGTGGTCCTAAACGGATTATCCCAGCAGTATGAGAGCATGAATTTTGCTGTGCCCCATAAGTGTCATTATGTTTTCAGTTTTAATTTCTATCAAATTTGACAATGTGATTTGTTCTTGGAGCTCTTCTTTAAAAGTCTTTTGTTTAATTTCAAATATTTTTGAATTTTTCAGTTTTCCTTCATTAATTTTTAGGTTCATTCTACTTTGATAGAAACTGTTTTTGTATGATTTGTCTTTTAAAAATTTTTAGACTAGTTTATTTTTATTTTTTTAAGACATAGCCTCGCTCTGTTGCCCAGGCTGGAAGTGCAGTGGTGTGATCTTGGCTCACCGCAACCTCCACGTCCCGGGTTCAAGTGATTCTCCTGCCTTAACCTCCTGGGTAGCTGGGACTACAGGCACGTGCCACCACATCCAGCTAATTTTTCATTTTTAGTAGAGATGGGGTTTCACCATGTTGGCCAGGCTGGTCTCGAACTCCTGACCTCAGGTGATCCACTTGCCTTGGTCTCCCACAGTGCTGGATTACAGACATAAGCTACCATGTCTGGCTCCAGACTTGTTTTGTGATCTAACACATGATCTATCCTGCAGAATGCCCTTGAGAAAAATGTATATTCTGCTGTTGTGGGTGGGGGTAGTGTATTCTATATATGTATCTACTAGGTCTCATTAGTTTGTAGTATTGTTCAAACTCCCAATTTCCTTACTGATTTTTTCTCTAGATGTGCTATCCATTATTGGGACAGGGCTACTGAAGTCTCCAACTATTAGCGTACAACTTCCTAT